TAGAAACCAGGTTTCCTGACTTTCGGTCCATTCTTTTGTTTTGTGCCTCTGTTTACTAGGTACAGAGAAAGTGCTGTTTCCTATAAAGCACTGAGTAAATGTCAAGTGTCATCACTGTTGTGGTTGTTGCTATTATTATTATTAATCAGGTACTCTATTTCTTCAAAGTAGATAAAGTTCAAATAGTTTCATTTCCCCTTTCCACGGTTTATTTTTTTTTCCTTCCTTTGTGCTTCTTTATTTGGGTGGATCATTTTAACATCAGATTATCAGTTAAAGTAATTATATTTCTTAGCTATCTGATAAAGGAAAGGTGTTTAATATAGACATAAACTATAAAATAGGAAGCATTTGTGACAACATGAAAAGGGGCTGATGAAAGAGTGGAGAGAACGTGGAGCCCAGTGATTCAGAGGGACAGAACTACATTTGTCAAGAAGGGAAGGGGGGAATCTTTGAACATAATAGGAGACTAGAGCCCCCCAGCATTAAGTTACTACATGAAAATGATGAACCTAGCCTTGGAAAAATAACCAAGTAAACAAGTTGAAAATAAAGAGACCACAAAAGAGGAAACCTGTAGAAAAGGTAGGAATAGTAGAGAGGGGGCTGGAGAGGAAAGGAGAAGAGATTTAAAGATATTTTCAGGTAAAAATATGAGAATATTATACAATAAACAACATAAAAGAAAAAAAAGAGTAAGAATCAGATTTCAGACACAGTAGACTCGAGAGCTGGTGGAATTACTAACAGCAAAAGGGAACAGAGAGGCGAGTCTGAAAGATGAGCTTTCTTTTCGTAATGCGAGGTTTAGGGTGGCAGTGAGTTCTCCCGAGTGGAAAGGGTCTAACAGATAAGAGGTAAATTTGAAAGCTGTGAAGAAAGAGGTAAATTAGAGCTGTTTTGTCCAATACAGTAGCTCCTCACCACATGTGGCTATGGAGCACTTGAAATTGTGGCTAGCATGAACTGAATGTGCTGTAAGTATAAATATACACCAGATTTTGAAGATTTCAGATAAAAAATACCTCGCTAACATTTTTCACACTGATTACATGTTGAAATAATATTTGCATGAATTGAGTTAAATGAAAAGTATTAAAAATCAATTTCATATCTTTTTACTTTTTAATGCAGCGGTTCTCAACCTGTGGGTCACGACCCCTTTGGTGGTCGAACGACCCTTTCACAGGGGTCACCTAAGACCATCCTGCATATCAGATATTTACATTACGATTCATAACAGTAGCAAGATTACAGTTATGAAGTAGCAACGAAAATAATTTTATGGTTGGGTCACAACATGAGGAACTGTATTTAAAGGGCCAGAAGGTTGAGAACCACTGTTTTAATGTGACTACTAAAAATTTAAAAATTACTATGTGGCTTGCATTCTATTTCTACTGGACACTGCTGATATAGATGTGTATCAGCATCACATAAGGGAAGAGAACTTAGGGGTGAATCACAGACACCATTCTGAGGTCTCCCAACTGAAAACAGATGTGGGAGAAAAAGAACACATTATAATAGTTAATATTTACTGAGCACTCGAAGCATTGTTTTTTTAAAACATTGAATTGCTTTTCCTTTTTTAAAAAAATATATTTTTATTGATTTCAGAGAGGAATGGAGAGGGGGAGAGAGAGAGAGATAGAAACATCAATGATGAGAGAAATCACAGATTGGCTGCCTCCTGCATGCCCTCCACTGGGTATCAAGCCCGCAACCCAGACCTGTGCCCCTGACTGGAATCAAATCCCGGGCCCTTCAGTCTACAGGCCAACGCTCTATCCACTGAGCCAAACCAGCCAGGGCAGCATTATGTTTTTTAAAAATGCATTATCTTATTTGTTTCTCCCAATAACCTTAGAAATATTGCAGTCTTCTTTTATAAAAGAAAAAACTGAGGCCTAAAGAAGTTAATCTGCCCAAAGTCACAGTTAAATGTTGGCCTTGGGATTCAAACTCATGACTGACCCCAAATCTGAAGCTCTAAATTGCCACATCATCAATTCCAGAACAATTTATACTCTGCAATGATTAAATTGTTAGATTTTTAAATGGTTGTATTTAAACTAACAATTTATTAGAATGGTTCATTGTCATCTGCAATGATTAAATTGTTAGATTTTTAAATGGTTATATTTAAACTAACAATTTATTAGAATGGTTCATTGTCAGAGTCAGTGATATACCAGCGATGTCCTAAATTTCGATTAAGAAAAAATACAAATGTGTAAATGTGCAACTTTAGAATTATGATAAGCTACTGATGTTGGCATATTTTCACCATGCTGGGCCTAAATAAGAGTTTCCAGGGCAACTTCTTGCCCTTTATCAATATCTGCTCTTAAAAACTCAGACCCATCAAGTTAGATGGTACAATGGAGATGACTGTGGACACAATCCTGGACGACAGGGCCCTGTTTTCTGTATATAACTAGATAGATGACATGGACCCACTTAAATTTTAAACAATGTCTTTCAAACTATAAAAGTATCTGAAGCTCCCAAACTGTGATTTAAATGTTTTGGAGAAAACTGGATTAAATTGCAACATTTTGTTGAAGAAACAAAAATTAAGCTTAACCAACTGGAAAATTTTAAAATGGATTTTGTATTCCTTGAAAATGCAACACTTTCAAGAAACAGAAAAAATGGCTTGATACTTTGACTGGAATCATAACATAGCAAAATCTCCTAGAAATATAAATTGGACTAAAAAAATAAGGTGTTTTTAATTTATGTTTGTTTGGTTGATTTTAATTTCAAATACAAACTTCTCTTCCTTTGCTTTTTACCTGTAATTTCTACCACCTATCTGACTAAACAGCAATCATAGAACTGCTGCATTTGTACAGTGATGGCTATAATTATACCATTTTCAGAAACTTGCCCATGTAAATTTTATCAAGCAGTTTGGCTCAAATTATATATATATATAAAAACACCCACGTCCATAGGCTTAACACAAAGATTGCCATCAATTTACATTATGGAAATGGAAAACCAAAAGGGAATTTCAAGGGAAGAATCTGTTTTGGAGTAAAACTATTTAGTACAGACGTTGTGAGATTGTTCATGTCAAACATGAATCCAAAGGGATCTCTCTCAACTGACCCCCTGATTTATGACTTTCACCCCAGACCCTGTGTTTTTAAAAAATAGTGAGATGACTTGGATTTAAAAATAGCTCCTCTGAAGACTCAAAGTTACTGAGAAATGCTTATCTACAGAGAAGTATCACGACTGTATAGAGTAGAGCTTATAAGAGCTTGCCCTTAGTTTTGGCTCTTTCAGATTAATTCCCACAACTCTTCCATCCAATTAGGGAGTTGTCCTTGGACTTGTTCCCTTACTCATTACAATTCATAATAAGTTGAAACAAAGGTTCAGACCTGGAAGGGGAGAACAGTTAGCCCGAAAAATGATTTGTCCACTGAGGGGTCAAGGTGTCAAGAGCATGAAGTTGACAGACCCAGGCATAAATGATGGCCCTCCCAATACTCCTATCACTGAGGGTCACCAAATCCACGCTCTTCTTTCGAAGAATGTCCCTCCTCTCAAACTTCACTTGAGATTCTCATCAAGTGTCAGTTGGGTAGATAATCCTTATAGTTGCATTGCTGCTTCCCATTTGCACATTTGCATAAAGTATGCTGCTTATTGGGTTAATTAAAAAAATATCTATATCTATATCTATATCTATATCTATATATATCTATATCTACATATATATATATAGATATATATATATATTGAGCACTTAATATGTGCCAGGCACTGTTGCAGCTACTAGAAATATAGCAGTGGAGAACATGACCACAATCTCAGCCATACTGAAACTTACATTCTGGTGGGGAGCATATTCAATCAACAAGATAAACAAAATCCATAGTGAGTTAAATATTAGATGAAGAAAAAAATGAAGCAGTTCAGGGGAATATGAACTGTGGTGAATGGGGTGGGAAAGGCTGGCATTTTAGATAAAGTGGCTGAAAAAAGGCTTCAGATAGAATCAGATACATAGTGTGCACCTGCAAGGGTAGAGAGGGCAACAATCTAGGACTGACTAGTGTCAGCTGGAGTGGGGAACGAACAGCGGATGAGCATATTTTACCAGCCCCGAAGTGGCGAGGAAACCATATGGGAGGGAGGAGAGAAGCCAGGATAAATACG